GAAATAGGAAGAGAGAAATACAAACTGGAGAGGCTCTCAGTGTCTGTGATGGCTTTTGATTTGTTACCAAATTGCTGGGATACAGTTGCAATACATCCTGGCTACATCTAGACTGGCATGATTTTCCACAAATGCTTTTAATGGAAAAGTTTTTCCGTTAAAAGCGTTTGCGGAAAAGAGCGTCTAGATTGGCATGGACGCTTTTCCACAAAAGCACTTTTTGCGGAAAAGCGTCCGTGCCAATCCAGACGCAGTTTTGCGCAAGAAAGCCCCGATTGCCATTTTCATGATCAGGGCTTTTTTGCACAAAACAATACCATGTTGTCTACACTGGCCCTCTTGCACAAAAGCAAGTTAACCAGTAAGCCTTCACAGGATCCTAAAGCTGGGGTCTGGGTTGACAGCAGTGGAACACTCCCATAGCCTGAGCCCTGCAAGCCTGAGTCACCTGGCATGGGCTAGCTGCAGGTGTGTAGTTGCTGTGTAGACCTCAAAGAACTCACTTCATGGCTTTCTCTTCCCTCTTTCCTTGGGCATAAAATAGGGATCATAATACCTGCCTCACAAATACAGCTAAATTAACATCTGTCCTGCTGGGATCCTTTGATAGACAAGTGGCGTTATTAGTGCCTGCTCTTTGTAAAGCTTGTTGTGGAAACAGCAGACACCTAAAAACAGCTTATTGCTCAATCCTGAATCACTAGTCATACGGAATGCTAGAAATCTTTGACAGGATTTGAGGTGGAGACCTATTGGCACTTCTAGCCCATTCTCTAGATCAGTAAAAATCAGTTTTCAGCGTGTTCTCCAGTGGTGTGTTCAGTGCAGATTTAAATCTCAAAACAGTATGGCGCTTATCCTCTTGAAACTACTCCTCAGTCTAATGAATCTAGCTTCATAAAATGCCTCCTGGTTTTTAGCTCAGATTCAGCCCATTATTCCAAGGTATATGTTAGGGATGTTAAATAGAGGCAGCAACGGGGGGGGGGAGAGCGACTAGTTGAGGAACTAGTCAACTATCCGATAAGCTTTTGCTTATTTGATAGTCGACTAGTCACTTATATCCCTTGTATATGTGCGTAATAGCCCATTTTTTGCATCCTATTCAAATCCTCTCCCTCCTGGGCATTTATATTTTCTTGATGCATCAGGAACCATTAGCATCCATATGAGGGTTAAAAAGACTGAAACTCTTGAGCTTGGAAAAGAGGTGACTATGGGAGGATGCCCTAGAGGTCTATAAAATCATGCATAGTTTGGAGAAAGTGAATTGGGAAGTGTTACATACCCTGTCACGTATCTCAAGAACGAGGGGTAACCCAGTGAAATGAATAGGCAGAGGGTTTAATACAACAAAAGGAAGTACTTCACACAACACAGTCAACTCTGTGCCAGGGGGTGTTGTGAAAACCAACAGTGTAAATGGTCTCAGAGATTTAGATATATTCGTGGAGTATGGTCCATCAATGTCTGTTGGCCAAGATAGTCATGGATTCAACCTCGTGCTCTGGGTGTTTCTAGCTTCTGACTACCAGATGCTGAAAGTAGATGATGGAATGGATCACTGAATAATAGCCCTCTTCTGTTCATTCCCTCTGAAGCACCGGGCCCTGGCCATTGTCCAAAGACAGGATAAATAGAGCATTGGTCTGACTCGGTATGGCTTTTCTTATATTCATCTTGATGGCATCTCTTATTTTCCAGTTGGCTTTGAAACATCGTCAAGGCAAGAATCATAAGATGCGCATCATCGCCTTTGTTGGGAGCCCTGTGGAAGATAACGAGAAAGATGTGAGTAAAGCATGAGCACTTAGATGAAATTTCCTCAGTGTGTTTAATCCGTGATGGTGAACTTGCAGGTCTGGTCTACACTACAGACCTAGGACAGTATAATTGTGTCCCTCAGGATGTGAAAAATACAGTACTGTTGCCTTTTGGAGATGGACTAACTATTCCAACAGGAGAGCAATGCAGTGTTTTAAATCTAGACATGCCCTCAGTCTTCAATGCTGTTTCTTTTTCTATTTGTTTATGCTGCTCTTCTCACCTTGGTATCAAGTGCCTAATAATTGCTGCTTTCTTGAAACTGCAGCTGTTCAGTGTAATTCAGAACTATGTTGGTCAGTCTTTATATGGAGAAAACCTGATTCTAAGGAATTTTAATGGAGCACTGATTACAGTCGTGTCATTGAATCTGTATCAAGAACTGTAAGACTCAAAGCTTTTGTCCCAATGGGACTACTGTTTAGCTGACACCCTATGGGTGTGATTTCTAAATCAAAGCAAATGGTGCACACTTACTGGCCTTCATAGATCATACTGACCTAAACTAAACTAAAAGTTCCTTAGTGCATCTCACTGAAGTTTGATGTTAATATGCACTAGGGAACTTTTTGTTTCCTCCAGCGTGGTCTCCCTGGGCCAGTTAATGCATGACATGTTAATGAGCTTTAGAAATCGCATAGTAGTAGGCTTGTACAATACAGATTTTATGTCTTAATTGGTAGCACACAAGATGAGTGGAAGGAGTGTGTATCCAAATCTTCCATCCTATTTCGTGTAGACCTCGCATTCTAGCTGTTGCATTGCCCACTTGTCACTTTTTGGATGAAGTTAAATCCCTAAGGACAGTATGAAGACAATCAAGCTGTTTCCTAGGATAATGTCCCAGTTCTCGTAATACATGCCCCAAAGAACTGGACCTCCACAGTGCTGCAGGATCACTTGACTGAAAGCTGCTGCTGCGGCTAACAATAGTACTATTATCCCTCCCTTGTCAGAGTGGCAGGCCCTCAAGTAACAAATACAGTAACAAATGACAGTCCTAGACAGGAGATCCTGTCTTTGTCCCAGCCTTGTGGTCACAGAACACCACAGTTCATGTGTGTGGAAGAACAGAGCTGGGGGAAGAGAACTCTGTTCCGTGATGGAAGCATTGAAGACTGATTTGTTCTCAAGCCCTTATCAATGAACACTGGGACCATACAAGCTGGGTAACTGACTCCTTTAAGTGTACAGAATTCCCTGACAGAGGAATGCTAGCAAGGCTCTTAAAGGCCAGTAGCATTTGAATCCCTTTTAAAAGTAGGTTAGGGAATTTAAATTTGATCGTGCTTAAATTTCTGGTTGCAGTACAGGGCATCCCCACTATAAGTCGCGCTGCTATACATCTGTTTCACACTAAAGTCATTGATGCTTGTAGGAACTGATGCATTAAATCCTCCCATTCCCTGCTCATAAGTCACGCAAAAAACCTCCCAATTTGTGCAAATGGAAGTCAGCTACGGGAAAAAAATTCCCCGCTTTAAGTTGTTTCAGTATAAGTCCAAGTTTTTTTGGACTGTATCTTGTAGTGAGGAAGGACTATATTAAAAAAGCCTTCAATCAGAAATCTAAACTCTAATTGTGTTTGTTTTTTATAACAATTTAAAATAGGTGCCTTTTAATTAAATCAAAGTACAGGCAGTCTCCAGGTTACGTACAAGATAGGGACTGTAGGTTTGTTCTTAAGTTGAATTTGTATGCAAGTCGGAACTGGTACATATTGTAGGGGAAACTCTAGCCAAACATTTCTCCAGAGCTCAGTTTTATTCTCCCACACCTCACTTCCATCAGTCCTTTATTCTCAAGCTGAGGTGTCTGCCGAGAAAAGCCGCTCTGCGTCTCACTGGTCTGCTGGGGGGGGCGCTAGCTTTGCGTCTCTCTGGTCTGCTGGGGGGAAACAGCTAGTGCGGGGTTGCCTCACCCCGTTTGTAAGTAGGGATCCGATGTAAGTCGGATCCATGTAACCCGGGGACTGCCTGTACATACAATTATAAAGATAACCTAAGGTAATTCAGATTGTCAGTGTGTTTCTTTAAAACAATGTCAGAAGCTTGCTGGCTTTAAGTTCTGGCCTATTAGGCTTTTCATTGGAGTAAAATGGAGATGGAACATCTCAAACGTTTTATGTACAGAAATAATCTCTTATGCTGAAGCTTGTATAGAGTGTGGCGCCTGTTAGATGCTTTGATATCTGGTTTTGTGTCCTGATGAACAAATCCCACGCACTTTTGTCTGCCTTCTGTTATGTGGAGACAAGTGATGAAAGACTAACACTCCTTTCTCTTTATTGCAGCTGGTGAAACTGGCAAAGCGCCTTAAAAAGGAGAAAGTAAATGTTGACATTATCAACTTTGGAGAAGAGGTGAGACTTTTGAACTGATCTCCTAAGAATGTTTGGAATAGAAAACAGCACTGGGGGTTAACATCTCATTTTCAAACAGTTGGCTCCTATTTCTCTGGGAACACAAATGAAGAATACGAACACAGTTCCCTGTGTCTTATTTTCTTTAGCAGCAATGTTAAGGCTGATCTGTTCAGACAATAGAAATCCTTCCATTAATATTTTACAGATTCCAAAGGAGATTCTTTCTTCAAATATTCCTTTGCTGTGTTTGCAACCCAAACATTTCACATTTCTGCTAGTGCTTCAGGGAAACTGACTGATCTAAACCTACCATCAGTGAAGGGCAAAAAGACAGCAAATTGGATTTTTAAAACCCTTCGTTTTCATAAATGAAAGTGTTAAAGGACATCTTTTCTTTTTTTGTTTTTAACTTAGCTTCTGCAAAGGTTGGTTTTTGCACAATGTTCTGGTTGAAAACAGAAAGCCAGCTGTAATTTTGAGTTTCCTCCATATTTATCAGTTTGGGGTACAATCCTTTGTAAGCAAAACCTGCTTCACCATTGACATTTAAAACACCAAACCTGTCCTTAAGGACAGTGTGAAGTTCCCGCAGGGTTTTTACAGCTCAGAGCGCAGCAGTATCTCCTGTGAGCCAAGCCAACAGAAGGAAGCCACCCTGAGTTCTGACTTCTCTCTGTGTCTCTTCTCTTCCTGTAGGAAGCCAACACAGACAAGCTGACTGCCTTCATTAACACCTTAAACGGCAAGGATGGGACCGGTTCCCATCTGGTGACTGTGCCCCCAGGTCCGAGCCTTGCCGATGCCCTCATCAGCTCCCCCATTTTAGCTGGGGAGGGCGGTGCTATGCTGGGCCTTGGCGCTAGCGACTTTGAGTTTGGAGTGGATCCCAGCGCAGACCCAGAACTGGCTCTGGTAAGAGATGATAGACCCAAGAATGGCTTTGAAGGAGCCACACTGTTTGTGAACATGCCAGTGCTGTGAGTATGCCCCGTTGTCTGCTCCACAGGCGCTGCGTGTGTCCATGGAGGAGCAGAGACAGCGGCAGGAGGAAGAGGCCAGAAGAGCTGCAGCTGCTTCCGCTGCTGAGGCAGGAATTGCAGCCACTGGTGGGGATGGTAAGAAACCGGGTGGGGGATCTAATCCCTCTTCGTTTGGGAGGGGCGAGGGTGAGCAGCGAGTTGAGAGGAGGGAGTCTGCAGCCAGGCCTTTGTGTTGAGATCCTGTCCAACCTCCAGTGCCAAGCAGGCCCTGGGTGGCAATTGGATGGGAGGTACAGCTCTGGGCATTCACTAGGGGCATCGCTTCCTTTCCAGTGATGGTTTGGAGACCTCCAGCATGGCGCTCCCCTTCACCAGGAATGCAGAAGGAGGCCCCGATCACTCACGCTCGTTAGAGATCCCATGGCACGTTCCACAAGAATACCATTAATCCCATTATCGCAGCCCAATCCCTATTTGGGTGTCTGCTTCCCCTAAAACTGCCCTCTGCACTTTGTTGGACACAGTATTTGTCCTGTCCTGAACTGTTGTGCATTGTGGCTGTGCTCTTTGTGCCACTGTCTTGTTCCACCCCAGAAGAAGCTGCCTTTCAGTGGGAAGGAGGGATCCTTCTCTCAAGTTGGAGAGTGGGATGTATGTCAATGGAAATCACTCTGGAAATTGGAGGGAGAAGTGCTCTAGGAACGTGTGCGGTGTTTATTCCTGCGCTAGATTCGGACGATGCCTTATTGAAGATGACGATCACCCAGCAGGAGTTTGGGAGAGCCGGCCTGCCCGACCTTAGCAGCATGACAGAAGAGGAGCAGATTGCTTATGCCATGCAGATGTCTCTGCAAGGACCAGGCAAGTGGCTAGAATTTAACACATCTGTCTAATCCCTGAAGACAATTCCTGGGCTGCCTGATTTCAGAAGCAACAGCAGGTTCTCGACACCTCCGAATGTCCAGTAAAGGTTGGGCACCCAGAAATGAAGATACACCGAATTAGTGAGTGTTTGTCTGAGGGGGCCTGAATCCCACGAATGTCCTGCCTGTCAGGGAGCGAGGGATTTCAGCACCGTCCTGTCTTCTGCCTCGAGGCTTCCTGCTGTACCCATCAGCATTATCCCAGGCACCTCTTGTGGTAATTCTTGACTGATACGGCGTCTGTAGTGGGGTAGGAATGATTTGCCATGTGCTGCTATGGACAGGCACAACTGGGTAAAAAAGGGGTGGGATCAAGCGCCGCCAGACTCCTGATCTGAAGGCCTGCAGTTGTGGCTATTGGGTCTATGAGACTCCAGATCTGCTAATTGCTTTGTGGCACGTTGCCTTCGGGATCTTTACATACACAGCTTGCTGCCAATCCAGCAGAAACGCAGCTGCAGTAAAGGTGGTGGGGAGTACTCATCGTTCCTTTCCTCTCTTCAGAGTTTGCCCAAGCTGAGTCGGCCGAGATTGATAGCAGTGCAGCCATGGACACATCAGAACCTACCAAGGTGATGGTCTCCCCGTGCACCTCCATCTCTTACGGCAGTGTTTCTCAACCTTTTTTTTATAAAGTAGCTCTTAAAAAGAAAAAAAACAAGTACTCCCAGTACAAAATTTTCAGACACAATTTTTTTCTACTGTTGCAACACATTTGTTTAAATCGTAGCCAGGCAGGCAGTGACATTTTTGGGTGTAAAAAGTACAAAAATGATAAAACTCTGTAAAACTTAAAACAAAAATTCAGTTTTCTCCAAATTTCAGTTGTTGACGTCCCCCCCCCCAGACTTCTCTCGGGTACCCCTAAGGGTACTCGCCACTGGTTGAGAAACACTGTCTTACGGCATCCCCTCTGTGTAGAGTCCAAACTCCCCCTCTCCTTAGTCTTGGTTCACATCGCTGTTCAGTTCAAGCTTTGTCAGTAGGATGAGGGATGTTACCAGGTTAACCGGTGGGGTGCTCTGGCCCTGGCCCAGCCATCCATGTTTAATGGATTAACCAGTTGAACGGGATTTACATCCCTAAGTAAGATTTGCTGCAGCTGGGGTTCCTCCCACACAGCTGCCCAGCTCATACCCTACGTCCAACTTTCCCCATAGAGCTTACACCTGCTTCCCCAGTGAGTTCCTGGAATCCACTTAAATCTTCCCTAACATGCCCAGCACCTGCTACCAGGGTGGAGTGCTTTGAGTAGCCTGTTAGATCAGCATATCTTCCTTGTGAGGGAGTGGGCAGTGACTCTCTCTACATGGACGTGCAGGAAGAAGATGATTATGACGTTATGCAGGATCCGGAGTTCCTACAGAGCGTGCTTGAAAACCTGCCTGGGGTCGACCCCAACAACGAGGCCATCCGCAACGCAATGGGTTCTTTGGCCTCGCAGGCCTCCAAGGAGAACAAGGACAAAAAGGAAGAGGAAAAGAAATGATGGCACGGGGGTACCGGCCCCTTACCACTGACGAGCAATTGGGATAATCTTAAGCCCTGCATGTTCCGGTCCATATAACCTAATAACGTCGATTTACTTAATCACTGTTCTCCAGGGTAGGATGTTTTTTTTCTTGATGTAACAGTTAATAAAAACGTTAAATTTTTTTTCCATTTCCCTTCCAAAGTAACTATCAAAATGCTAATGGTTTTCCTAAAGGCGCATAGGAATTGTCAGGTTGGCCCAGGCTGGGTTCATCTTGCCCAATGTCCTAACTCCAGGGTAGGACCATCGTCCTCCCTGCATTGATAGGGTGACCCACCTCCAGGGAAAGCTGTACTTAGGCCCAGGACCTCACAATGGGGGAGAAGGCTTCATTTAAACCAGATTAACTGGGTCCAAGAGAATTCCTTGCGTCTTTGTCCTGGTGTAGCTTTCTGTTTGGGGAGTACTTCTCTTACTGATGCACCAGAACAATCCCTAGACTGGACTTGGTTGTACTGGGGTACAGGACCTTTTCCTGGGATAGTGCCTCCCCTTCCTATGTGAGAATAGCCATACTGGTGTGAAGTACTTTTGTACGGAGCAGTAAATGTCCTCAGCATTATGGTGGGGGGATCTGGTGCTAACTTGCATGTAGACAGGGCTTCTGCCATGGAGAGCTGCCGTGCATAGTGTACAGGAGGCCACAGTATCCAGGGTGGCCTTAAACAGAACAGCTCACTGATCTTAAGTACATTCCCTTCTTGGCTTTGTGGTACGTAGAGACCTGTGTGGTAAGGAAAAAAGACCCGCTGAGAGCCCTCCCCGCTATGCCCAGGCCCTGCAGTTGTGTAACTTTACTCACCGGAGTCACCCAATGAAGCAAACATTTGCCTGTGGCAAAGTTGTGTGTGGATCTGATACCTTGGTGCACCTTAAGTAAGCGGACAAAGGCTTAACAAGAATCAGTGGTGGGGAAGGGAAGTCAGCAAGTCTCAGACTAGAGAGGGCTCACACTATTCTCTGTGACACTGACCAATGGAACCGAAACTCAAGGGTGAGTGAATTCTCCATCACTCAGAGTCCCTAAATCAAGACTGGGACGTCTTTCTAGAGCAGGGGCTGGCGCTTCGCCTCAGGGTTCAGTGTTCTGCTCTGTTACTCGAGAGCACCCACTAAAGGCTGCTGTACGGATGGACGTAAGGGTTTGCTGGCGGGAGTGACATCAGCCTGCTTCTCTGCGAGCTGTTCTCACAAGTACCTCAGCACAGCCTGTTTGCTGAGAACTCGGCAAGCCTTCTCATAACTCCCCCACCCCCTTTTGGGAAGTTGCCAGGGTGCTGCCGGGGGGAAGTGAGGTAAGTGCCCAGAGATCAGGCAAGACCGGCCCGGGGCCCTGCAGGTCAGGATAAGAGCTGTGTTGGGAATTCCCTGCTTGGACTCTATTCAGCCACCTGGAAGTGTCTCGTGTCTGAGACGTACCAGGTAGGTGCTCATAGTTACTTCCGGGCCACGGCTGGAAACCCATCCCGCTGCCCCTGGAGTGCAGATGAACGGCCGCACTTTCCGGTTCTCAGCAGTTCTGATGCAGTCGAGCACTATATTCCTATGGCCTGTCTGAGCTCTGCCTTAACCCCGGGCAGCCTCTGGGAAGCAGCTCAGAACACGAGGGGCATGCGCAGAGCAGTGAGTACACCAGTCCCCTGGCCTTGCGCGCTCCCCTAACCTGTAGCCTTTACCTTAAAGGGCTGGAGGACCTAGTACTAGATCTCTTCAGCCTGCTCATCCAGATCCATGTGCTGCCACCGAACCCCCCATTAGCACAGCTGCTGGGACCACCCCCTAGCAGGGAAAAGCACTTTGCTCAGAGACTGCTCCTGCGCAGCAGCATGCTTGCTGGGAAGTTAGCACCAGAAACGATCCACGCTGAGACAAAAGCCATATGGCGGGGCTCTTTATTGCTCACTGTGCCAGCCAATATATCCTTGTATCCCCACTGAGGGCTCACTCTAGTACAGAGGGGTCTGAAGAAGGCCCCAAACCCTCAGGTGTGAGTGTAATGAAAAATCTCTGCAGCCTGGCTTCTGCTTCTGAGTTGATTAGTTAGAGAAGGGTTGATGCTACGGGTAACTCGGCAACTTGTCACATCTCTGGATTTTATTGCGACTAATTATCTCGTGCAAAGCAGTGATACAAAATCCCACACGTGTGTGGTGTTGGTTCTCCGCCAAAATATGGAACCAAAGGCTAGAAAATCGTAGACGTGTGCATGGCCTTCCTGGGTGGGTGCAGTTGGAGTTAATACGGTAGTTGGGACAGATGGATTTGCTGCGGGGCTTGCTAAGCAGCCATGCTTATGTGATGCCTAGGGGCAGCTACGGAGAGACGAAAATCAAGACCTTTAGTAAGTAATAGACCTCTGCCCTGATGGGCCATAAATGGCTGATCAGCTCTGGCTACTTCTACACATGGACCTGTGGTGCCCAAGCAGTTCTGAAGCAGTCGCCACTCTAGTCATAGCGAACTAGCCACACTCAGCTGGCCAAATACATGCTTATGTGATGCCTAGGGGCAGCTACGGAGAGACGAAAATCAAGACCTTTAGTAAGTAATAGACCTCTGCCCTGATGGGCCATAAATGGCTGATCAGCTCTGGCTACTTCTACACATGGACCTGTGGTGCCCAAGCAGTTCTGAAGCAGTCGCCACTCTAGTCATAGCGAACTAGCCACACTCAGCTGGCCAAATAACCACATGTGGCTCATGGCTAGTGTGTTGGATGCCACAGACAGACTGTCTATATGACTAGCAGGGCCAGCATGGGGCTCTAGCGGCCACTCAGGCAGATCAATGTAGCCCTGCCTTGCACAACTGGGTCTAACCTGACTGCAGACTTGGCTCTTCCACCCACCCCCAAGCTGATTAACTGGCCCAGCGATTCCCCTGGCGCCGGGGGGCATGCTACGTACGTGCAAAGGCTGTGATCAAGTACGTGGGCTTGTTGCTGCACAGCAGGGTGGTCAGGCTGCCCAGGGCGCCAGTGCCCATGCTCTGAACGTCCGAGGTAAGCCCCAGCGTGGCGTTTCTCTGCAGGGGGATCACAGGCAGTTGGGTAGGAGGCTTTGATGCAAACTGAGGGGAAAGACGTGCCTGGGCCTTTCACCCTGCGCCACCCGTGGCCAGTCAAAGAATCTCACCTGGGCAGGGTGGGGAGGACTGGGCTGCCTAGCGGTTAGTGCACCTGACTGGCCCTTTCCCCGCCAGGCAGTAGCAGTACCTGGTTCCTGACCCTTGTCTGGGAATTTTCTGGCCTCCACCTGGATTTGGGTGATAGGGAAATGTGCCGGCTGGGCCCTCCATCAGATCCCTCCATGCACCCCCTGGGAAGCAACACCTGCAAGTTCCTCCCCCCTCTCCCTCCCGCAGTGCCTGAATCCAGTGGCCTGGGCTATGGCCTCCCTTCCGTTCGTAGCATAGCCCCCCCAGGCCAAATTCAGATGCTTTGGAGAAGGCCAGGTGAGCAGGACCTGCTGGTTTTTCTTGGGGGAGTTGGAGAGGGTTCTGCTTGGGGTCCCCTCTCAGACTCAACCTGCCTGGCTTCCCAGGGAAGGGGCCATTTTTCCTGCGGTCCGTCTCCCTCCCCGCCCCCAACCCTGCATGCTCAGCAGGTCTGAAGGGTGGGGCTCCCTGGGTATTCCACTGTTCAGCTCCTGCCAGTCTAGCCGGTGGAGCAGGGCTTGCTCCTGCCGTTCTCAGGGCCTCGCGGCGGATCCAGGTAGCAATTCCCACGTGGCTTTGGCATCGCCCGGGCGGTCAGCAGGCTGGGGCAGGTTGGACAGGCTCCTCCCCCCCCAGGCGAGTGGCGTTGCGGTGGTCCCCTGGGCCGGGCTCTGTTCCTCCCGTCCCTGCTGGAAGGGAGCCCAGGGGCCTGGATTCTCCTGTTCCCACGGGCGAGGTGAGCTCCAGCTCCAGGACTGCAGCCTGGTCGTGCCCGGCTCGCTGGGCTGGCTCAACATTAGAGCAATTGAAAAGATGGGAGGGGGGGAGAAAACCCAGGGGGCAGGGTGAGTCTTTAATGGGACAGGACAAGGGCCTCGCCTTTCTCCTGAAGCCCCCAGGGGAGGCAGGAGACTGAGCTAAGTGGACCTTGGGTCTGATCCAGCCTGGGCAGGTTCGTCCCTGGAGAGGCTTTCACAGCCGTGCAAAATGCATCCTGGACTGTGACATAAGCCCTTCTCCATGAAATCTGCCACCTCCTTGTTCCTAGGAGCGCCCCATCGAAGGGGGCTTCCTACCTCCGCCGGGGCACGGGGAGGACAGGAGCTGTCCCTCCCCTGCAAGGGAACCAGACCCATCTCCAGGTGCCTACCCCTGCAGCAGGATGCTGTCTTGAGTATAGGCAGCAGCAGCAGCCTGAGGTTCCTACAGCTGAGTGTGGGTGGGGGGTGCAGCGCTTTCCTCAGCTGTACAGACAGGGAACAAGTCTTGTCCCTCCCAGGCAGGGCAGGACTAGCAGCGAGGGGCCCCTAGCTGGGGTGTTCCCAGCCCCACAGGGGAGATCAGCCCCACTTCTGTCTTTTGGAGCCTCCTGCGGCTGCAGGAAGTTCAGCAGTTGCTGCCTTTAGAGTCCAGCCTGAAGGCAGCACAGAAGTCAGAGTGGCAATCCCATGACCCCCCCTCCAGCAGGTTTGCAAACCCCCCTCCCCATATCTCCTTATGGGTCAGGCCCCCCTGGCTACAATACTGTGACATTTCAGGTTTAAACAGCTGCAAACATGAAATGTACCAATGTTCAAATCCTAGGGCCGTGGAACTGGCCGTGACGGAGTGTGAATGCGGTAGGGCTCTATTCATAGCTACAGCCAGGCTCCTTTGTGGGCCTCTGACGCCACAGAGACCGACTTGGACAGCAGTGAGGGGGAGCTGGCCAGCTGGCCACCTTTGGCCTCTGCTCTGCTCAGAGCCCCGCTAAGCAGGAGCCCCCTGGCCGCTCCTGGGAGGGGCGATGTTCAGGGCAGCGAGGTGGCCGGAGGTAGGTGACGCTCTACGGGTGCTTGCGTGTGTGGTTCAAGGGGGATGAGGGGGGGGGGGGGGAGATTGCTCCAGCCTGGATGGAGCGCCCTGCCTGCTGCTGACTTAGAATGCCTCCCTCCCCCCACCCTCCTCCCAGAGCAGCTCCAGCCTCACTGGTTAACCTTAACCAGTAAACCTCGCCCACTAACTGGTTAAACCTTCCCATCCCTCGTGAGTGGCGCTAAGGGCAGGGATGTGCAACGACAGCCGTGCCTGGAGCCCCACTGGCCCTTGCAGCACCCAGGAGGTTCGAGGCTCCCGGGAACATCCCCCTCCCTGCTCTTTGCATCCCCCTGGCCCTGGTTAGGAGCAGCTGAGGGATGAGTTGCGCCCTGGAGCGCACTGTTGGAGGGGCCCTTGGGAAGCAGCCCCCGTCCGTGGCGGGAGGCGAGACTCTGCAGCCTGGCTGGGTTTGAGGGGCCCTGTCTGCGGGCGGTGTGGGGGGCAGCAGCAGCATCCCTTGGGTGGCGATTTACCAACACAGCCTGGAAGTAGCTTTCCAGCGCCTGGCAGGACGGCAGCTGGTCGGAGGGTTCCATCTTCCGGGCCACGCACCCTTCCGGCTGCCCGTGATACACCATCAGGTGCTGGGAGGGGGAAAAGCAAGAGCACCCCACTGTGAAAGCCTGACAGGGTGGCCTCCTGGAGGGGCTTGGCAGCTGAGGCACAGGGGGAGCTGCTGCCCTGGAGAGGGGAGGGGAAGTGCTTAACCCCACAGTGCTGCAGCTAGCTGGGGACAGGCAGGGGTCCTGTGTTTCCTCCCTGCCGGGTGCTCTCACCAGGCACTGCCCTGGGGCTGCCCCCAAGCAGTGGGGAGGAGGGGCTGGAGTAGAGGGCGATGGAGCCCGTCAGGCTGGCCTCCACTATGCCCACTGCTGTGGAGACGTATGGCTGAGCCAGGTCGTTCTGGGCAGGAGGGAGCCAGCTCTAGCTGGACTCATTCTATTCTGCAGCCTGATCCGGGCTGAGGTTGCCTCTCGGGTTGTGTTGCTGTGGGCTGGTCCCCCACCCGGGACGTGGCTCGCTCTCAGGTGTGAGTCCTGCGGGGGAGGGAGGGAGGGAGGTGGAGAGGGAGCCCCTGCCATGCACAACGGACACCCCCATCTTCCTCGACACCCCCATGCTACTCACATTTCTCAGGTCGCAGGTGATCCCCGGGGCCACCCCCTGCTCCCCTAGCTCGCTGAGTGCCAGGAGCAGCGACGCTTCGTTCTGGACGTTCACCTGGGCAGGCAGGTAGCCGTAGGCATCTCGCTTGAGCAGAGGGGAGGGGGAAGGAAGGAGACGGGATTAGATGGATCAGCGACGTGAACCCCTCCCCCTGCCACTGACCGGTCACCGTGAGAAATCCCCAGTCGTCACCATTCCTCCAAGTCGCCCTCCCCTCCCTGTTCTCTCCCTCTTGCCTGGAGCAAGCTGGTCTGCTCAGCTAAGAATCCCTCCGTTCCCGTCTCATTCCAGGTTGTCTCTTCCTTCCTGCAGAGGGAGCCAGGCCCTCCCCGCCCGCCCCCAGTCCCTTGGCTGTACCTGGAGACAGGTAGCTCGCCCCAGATACGTTGCCACCAGGACCCCAATGATGCTGACGGTGAGGACCGCGACCGCCCCTGCGGTCATGATCACCAGCTTGCGGCTGGAGGGAGGAGGCCCCTGCATCTCCAGGCCGGAGTGGAAGGTCTGAGGAAGAGGGAGAGAGTTAAGACCATAAGAACGGCCAGACTGGGTCAGACCAAAGGTCCATCTAGCCCAGTGTCCTGTCTTCCCACAGTGGCCAATGCCAGGTTCCTCCAGAGGGAATGAAGAGAACAGGGAATCATCATGTGATCCATTCCCTGTCTCTGACAAACAGAGGCTCAGGACACCATCCCTGTCCATCCTGGCTAATAGCCATTGATAGACCTAACCTCTATGAATGTAGCCAGTTCTTTTTTGAACCCTGTTAAAGTCCTGGCTGCCACAACCTCCTCTGGCAAGGAGTTCCACAGGTTGACGGTGCGCTGCGTGAAGAAAAACTTCCTTGTGTTTGTTCTAAACCTGCTACCTATTAATTTCATGGGGTGACCCCTAGTTCTTGTGTTATGGGAGCAAGTAAATAACTTTTCCTTATTCCCTTTCTCCACACCAGTGTTGGATGAGGAGGGGGCTGCAGACCAGGGGCCGGAGCTGTCTGAGTCAAGAAGCTCACTGTGAGGCAGGCCAGCTTCCCGGCTGCTGCCAGCCAACCTCAGCAGGGGCCGGACATAGCTCTTTCCTGGGCTGGAGAGCCCATCGCTGCCACGGCACCCATTCAAAATCCAGCCCAGGGTAGTGACGCCGGGAACATGGCGAGTCTCAGCCCAGCACAGAATCACCCCAGACAATGGCTCCCTGGCAGAGGGGCCGGCAGGACCATGACAGCTCCCTTCCCAGCTCGCTGTTGGAAGGGGGCAAGTGTCTAAAATCAGCCCTATTTCAGGCCCTTGTGAGGGGTATTATGGTAGGACCTACCGTAATGGACAGGGCCTCTAGTGCACTAGGTGCTGAACGGAGAGGTCCCTGCCCCCTTGGTACTCTGCTTACCTAGGAGCGGGGTCTGGCTGGCCTGCCTGCCAAAGGGCCTGAAGCTAAGGGAAGAGGTGGCGTTAAATGCGGGAGCAGCCGGGAGGCAGATTGCCGCGGAAACGCCCCTGTCCCTTTGTTTCCAGGCAATTTCTCTCCAGCGCCAGGCCGCGATGGGGCTGTCTGGGCTCCCCACGCCATCGTGGCTCCCGTTTCCCGTGCAGCCCTCGCACGTCGGCCGAGCTTCGGCACGTGTGTCAGAGAAACCTAAATGCCGTGCGTGACGCGCGTCTGTCTCTTCGGAGCTGGAGCGGTCCCGCTGGGCTACTAGTTGCTGAGAGGTGGGGAAACTGAGGCACACAGCAGCACCGGGTCTGAACTTTGAGAGGGTACTCAGCTCAGTCTGGAGGCACAGGCCTTTGGAGGGCGGATGCTGCTCTAATGAGGCCAGGTGTTGCCGTGGCAAGGAAAGGAGAGAGAGACTCGGGAAGCTCAGCCCATCTGGACTTATGGGGGGGCTGTGCCAGTCTGGGCTGAGAACAGCCAAAACAGAGCCAGGCTAGAAAACCTGGAGGCCTGCTTGGACAGAGGCTGGGCTACCAGGGCAGCTGCATTTCCCCCTGCTAAGCCTGGCCCCTGCAAACCCCAGCACTCACCTGCCCTCAGTAGGATAGGGAAGGGGCAGAAAAGGCCGAGGGGGGTGCAGAGATGCCCAAGCAGGCAGGTGAGAATCAGCTGGGGGGAGATGTCGGAGAAAGGGGTCAGGATCAGGGAGGGACGAAGGTTAAAGCAGCTGAAGGAGCAGGAGAGGCTGAAGAAGGGATGTGGCCCAAGGCAGGGGGCGACCTCTGAACCTCCCTCCAAGCACTAGAGCTGACGGATTGTGCAAGAGGCCGGCTCAGCCCCTGTCCTGCCTGGAGGGGCCAACGCTGGATGCCCGGCTCCATCCCCCCATGCTGCAGGCAACTCCTCTGCCCCTGGGTTAGCACCCCCTGCCCTGAGCCACGTCCCTTCTGATAGCCCGGCCTGTGCCCGAACAGGCCTCCGGGGTTTCCAGCCTGGCTCTGTTTTGGCAGCCGGAGGGGGAGCGGCACCTTCCCTTGCCCCAGTAGCTGGATCCTGCCCTGGTGGGACCATCTCTGACCCACTTAGTCCCTGCCCGTCCAGCTGCAGCTACCACCCTGCAGGCGCATGAGTCCTAGGAGCCAGATTGAGCCCCCCATGCTCCCCAAACTTCTCTCCACAAGGATCAGTCTGTCCCCCCCCTCCCCGCACACACCCAGCCCCTGATCCATCGCTTACGTAGGGGGGGCTCTTCAGCTGCAGTCCCGCTGGCCAGGAGTCAGGGCTCTTCTCTTCAGCAGACATTCCCCAGGAGCACCCCGGCGATCGAGACCCCTTCTCGCCCTCGCTCAGCGGCGCCCGAGCTCCGGGCATTTATAGGGGCTGCGGAGCGGGGGGGCGGCTTTGCTTGGGCAGTGCCTGTCCAATGGGAGCGCTGCTGATAGCGGAGCCTCCCAGCCCTGCACCTGCCCCCCCACACCTTCCCGCAGCCTGAGTTACCTCTTTGTCCTCTCCTGCCTGCCTCCCTCACAGCAGCCCTGAGTGGTGTCTGTTTGCAGCCGCCAGCGGAACCTCCCGGGGCAGGATGCGGGGAGAGGGGGCTACAGGAACCCTTCCCCCTCGCTTAGTTTGGGCTCTGCTTCTGGAGTGTGTAGTGCCGGGGGCAAAGAACGGCCTGACGTGTGCATCAGACCAACTTCCCCACCCCCCACCCGGCCAGGCCAGGCCCTGTGCCCAGAGGGATCTGCCAGAACTGGAGGGATTTGGCTCTAGTGCCGCCCATCTTGAAGGGACTCCGGCATGCGCCGACTCTAGAACATGTTGCAAGCACCCCAAGCCTTTCTGGGCAAGCGTGCCAAAGGGCCATGCCATAGCGCCAGCAAGAGCCATAGGGCCATGCCATAGCACCAGCAAGAGCCATAGGGCCATGCCATAGCACCAGCAAGAGCCATAGGGCCATGCCATAGCACCAGCAAGAGCCATAGGGCCATGCCATAGCACCAGCAAGAGCCATAGGGCCATGCCATAGCACCAGCAAGAGCCATAGGGCCATGCCATAGCACCAGCAAGAGCCATAGGGCCATGCCATAGCACCAGCAAGAGCCATAGGGCCATGCCATAGCACCAGCAAGAGCCATAGGGCCATGCCATAGAGCCAGCAAGAGCCATAGGGCCATGCCATAGCACCAGCAAGAGCCATAGGGCCATGCCATAGAGCCAGCAAGAGCCATAGGGCCATGCCATAGAGCCAGCAGGAGGCCCTGATAAGCTTTGGCCCAGGGGTTAGGCTACGCCCCAGGGCTATTGCAGGGGCCAGTTCAGTTCCCCCTCAGCCTGAAGAGGAGACTGGATTTGAGCCAGGGCTTCCCTCATCCTTTTCTGCCATTTTATGTGGTGTTGCCCTCTAAGCACCCCTGCCGGCATAGGCCCTGCCAGCGAGGTAGGCGGCTGGATGCCTGCCTGTCTGTGGTTCGTGGATCGTGCCCAGGCAGAGGTGGAGACAACTGTGCCTAAGGCAGAGACACAAGCATGGAGGAAATGGTTACAGCAAAACTATAGGGGTGAGGCAGCTGAGGTGCCTATGGGGTTAGGCCAATGGGGCTTTTTGGCTCTCGGAGCAGGCCCCTACGCAGGAATTTGGGGGGGGGCGGGGCTGCTTTTTTTTGTAAATGTGGACCACAAGGGTGTGAATGTAGCCCCTATGGTCCCTCGTGTAAATGGGGAAATCAGCTCCAGCCTTCCCCCAGCCAGCCAGAGCATGGGGGAGGGAGGTTCAGCAATGCGCTGCTTCTGCCTTCCCCTGGCTGGCCAGAGCATGCTTACTTGGGGACCCTAAGGGTACGGGCCTGCAGAGGTACCTAAAATTGGCTTGGAACAGGGTCCTGAACTTAGGGTTGCCCATGTCCTAAGCTACTGTCCCTACCCTGTAACCAAAATCTGTGCATTTGGGGTTTAAAATTGCACCCCTGAACCCCAAAGGCTGATTATCCACCTAAAAGCAGGACTGATGTGTGGCTGTTTCTAGCTGAGTTCCGCCTAACCACACTGAGTCCCTCTTATACAGAAATAACCCATCCCCTCCAAAAACAAACCAACAAACCAACCCTATGGCACACGGTGGAAATCACATCTTATGTCCTCTTAGTGCAACTTCCCCATGGAGTTCAGCTTTCGTGAAGGGGAGCAGCCCAGACCTCATAGCTTGCAATGGCCCAGTGCAGTTTGTATCTACACAGCTTTTGCGGCTGGGTCTCCATCTGGAATCCTACAAAGGCTTCTGAATTGGGGCAAAATAACTCCCTCTTCTCAATGAAGGCTGGGCTTGAAGCTGATGTGCCAGCCCCAGAACTGCCGGGCTCTGATGGTGTCTAAGGCCCTGCTAGGAATGGACGATCAGAGGCCGCCTAGGGGATATTGCAGAGCTGGCAGTAAACTCCTCACCCTGTGTCTGCCTGCCCTAAACTCCAGTGCTGCTGCCGCTGCCAACTCTCCGGATTCTGTCTCGAGTCTCACGACAAGTCTCGTTTTCCTTAAAGCCTCAGTTCCCGGCGTCAAGCAGCGATGTGATGACGTCAGCCTTCAGCCTTCAAGAAAAAGTAAGTTTCCGGCCCTCGGGACTGTGGGGAAGTTTCAACCAGTGACCCCAGTGGGACCAAAAGGCTCAAAAAAAGCAGAAGGCCAATAAAAAGAACCCACATCTATTATCTACTATATAGAGAGCGTGTGTGTCTGTTCAAGAACTCCTGCCTAAATAGTAAGAGCTAGAACCGCCAAATTTGGTAGGAAGGTTCCTCTTATCATAACTTAAAGCAAGGTCAGGGTTTGGGTCTACCAGGAAAAAGGGATGTGCCTGGAATGGGATTGCAGCTCATAAAACAAACAGAAATGAGACCGACTTACCAAAATCCAGTACAAGTCCTCAACACTGACATAACGGAGCAAATGTTGAAAGAGACTGACCCAAGATGAGCCAGAAAAATAGGATGAAGGTGGAACAAGATTGCTTCTCAATAAGCCTTTCAGAAAAGAGATCATATGGAGAAATGTTGGAGTAGTGCTCTCTTTTGGCACAGCTAAATCAATGCTTAAGGTTTGAAAACTAAAAGAAACTTACAGAAGAGCAGGGCTGGCCTTACCATGAGGCAAACTGAGGCAGCCGCCTCAGGTGCCAGACTATGGGGGGGACAGTAGTTCACACTTTTTGAACAAGGCATTTTAAGTTGTTAGTTCTCCTTTATTGGGGGAGGTAGCAGAGCAGTCCCATGAGAGGAGCAGAACAGGAAGAAGGCAGAATTGAGACCTTTCAAAGTTTTGGCCCAAGCGAGGTGACATGGGACGTCATTTGAGCTCCCTGCCTCAGGTGCCAAAATGTTACGGGCCGGCCCTGCACTGGAAACCAAATTGACTAGAGCCCTTTTTGGTTAAATCAGAGCAAATGATAAAAGAGTTTATAGGGATGAAGAAACAAAAGGCGCTTCATGGAATTCCCGAATCACGGTCCCGAGCAACGCTGGGTAAATCTCGTTTTTTTACATCATCTGGGGATTTGGGGTGAGCCTGCCTGGGACTTTTTGACCGTGTGAAGTTGGCGATACTGCACTTGGCAGGCTGGGTAACGTGGTTGCTTCTGGGGGAGCGGGCGGGCTGGCGCGCTTGCTGTACTCTTCTCGGAGTCTGTCTCTGTGGGGGTGGTTCGCTGAGTCCTGAAAGGACCTGGAAGTCTGGGAAAATATGTCACTTTATTCCCCAGGGCGTGGGGGTGTCACCTGACTTACGGGGAGCAGAGCTCCCCACTGTCCCTACGCTAACCAGACTGTCTAAGCTCAAGCAGCTAGCAAGGGCAGGCCCCTTGCCACGGCCTCTCCCCTGACAGGTACCCCATGCACAGTCCAGCTCTGCTTTCAGCCAACCTACTCAGGTTCCACATTCCAAGCTCCTGGGAAAAGGGCCTTTCGAAGGAAACCTGATCGCTGATAAGCTGGCTCAGGCCTCGCTGGCGAAGGGCCGGGCTGGGACACAAACGGGCCCCTGTGTGCTTGGATGTGCTGTGTCATGCCGGACTCCCATGGGAGCCCACCTGGCTTTGGAAAAGGGGCCGTCTCTGCTCGGCCGGTTGGGAGGCAGCATAAAGGGAAGATTGTGCGGCGATACTGAGCTGAAGCGAGACACAATGCAAGGCCAGGCACTGAACAGCGCCGCGTCCTGGGAGCCGGCCCATTGGCTAGAAAACAAAGCGGAAGCGGGGGGAGGGGGAAACCAGAGCCCTTGGCAGCGCAGGGTGGGAAGGAGAAAGAAATTTGCGAGCAGGCTGGGGATCCTGGGTTTAGCTCCTCCATCCCACCAGCCTCCCATCCCTCTGTCCAGGGCAGAAGCAGGAAAGATTCCTTCTCCCCAGCATATAGAAAGGGCAGAGTCGTGCTCCAGCCATGGTATGTCCCCCCCTGGAATACTGTACGGGCACCGTTGGTCGCCCCAACTCAGAAAAGATCATCTATGAGACATAGGAAAGGGCTAGAGAAGGGCAATAAAGTGAGCAGGGGGATGAAACAGACTCCCTAAGAAGCGACATTACAAAGCGTGGGATTGTGCAGCTGAGAAAGGTGTGGCCGAAGGGGGACATGACGGGTGTGCAGAACGGGAATGGAGAAACGTTATTTACCCCTTTACATCAACCCAAGAGCCAGGGGCACCCAATGGCAGCAGGCTTCAAGCGAGCAAATGGGGGTATTTGCTCACACAATGCACAGACAACCTGCGGAACTCATTGCTGGGGGATGTGGGGAAGGCCAAAAGTGTCACTGGGGTCAAAAAAGAATTAGATGAGCTCCGGCTGGGGCTGGTAGCCGCAATGGTCAGAGGTGCAACCCCATGCACCAAATGCCCTAACCTGCCGCACACGGGGCCTGGATGACTGGAGGCTCACTTGATGAGTCCCTGTTCTGTTCATTCCCTCTGAAACAGCTGGCATTGGCCACTATCCGCAGACAAAATACTGGGCTAGCTGGACCATTGCCTAGTCTGGCCATTCTCAGAGGGGCCGACAGCTCCCGCGGGCCCCCAGGCAAAGGGGGGGGGGCTCTGTGACCCTGGAAGGGGCAGGGCCTCAGGCAGAAGGGGCAGAGCCAGGAGCAGCCCAGACCACGGCACCCAGCCCTTAGAGCCATGCGGCGTGGTGCTCCAGCGGTGATTTAAAGGGCGCAGAGCTCTGCAGCAGCTGGGAACCCCAGGATCCTTTGAATCACAGGGCACGGGGGCAGGTCTCCCCCCTGCCGTCAGCAGGCCTGTCCGCT